TTATTATTTTTTTTAATTTTATTTATTTATTTATTTGTGTGTGTGTGTGTGTATGTGTGTGTGGCCAGCTCAGCCCACCATGGGGCGGGCTGGCTGGCATGTGGTGCTGGGGGATTGAACCGCGGTCCCTGTGCTTTGCTGAGCTTGTTCTAAGTAGGTGCTTTAGACCACTGAGCCATCTCATCAGCCCCTGGACAAGAATTATTAACAGATGTTAAATTAGTGGGTGGAAATCTAAGTCATAACTAAATGTTTACATAATTTTAAAGTATCTCACTTATAAAATACTTATTAATTTAAATGAATAAAATAGTAACTTTACGGTGAAGAAACCATGATCAAAGTTAACATCACCAATAATGGAATAAATCAACACATGGAATAAGCTTATCACTTTCTGCAATAGTCTGGCCACAAAATGAATATCCAAATTTAATCATAAGGAAACATCAAACAAACCAAAATTAAGGAACATACTATAAAATATGTGACCTCTTCTAAAATGTCAATGTTATAAAAAACAGGCTCAGGAGTTGTTATTAGAAGATAAAAGACTAGGGCTGGGGAGATGGCTCAGTGAAATAAGCGCTTGCCTGGTAAGCACAAGGGCCTGAGTTCAATCCCTGGTTAAAAAAAAAAAAAAAAGATAGAAACTGAAACAACATATCAACTGAATGTGATGAACAAGTATTTCTTTTACTATAAAAAACATAACTGGGGGCTGAGGAGATAGCTCAGCAGCATAGGCGCCTGCCTGGCAAACACAAGGTCCCAAGTTTGATCTCTGGTAGCAAGAAAAAAAAGAAAAAAGAAAAAAAAAGAGAATTAGTTGGAGCTGGGCATGGTTGCACATACCTGTAAAAACTAAGAAAGAGTTGGGGATGTAGCTCACTGCAAAGGTTCTATGCCTAATTCCCAGCAACACATACACACATGCAAGCACACATATAAAAATTATTGAGATAATTGGTAAAATATGACTGGTGACCTATGTAATATCATATTGCGGTTAATTTCTCTAATTTTGATTAGTGTACTATGTATTATTTATATAAATTTTTTATTGATAGGAAATATATATTTAAGTATTTAGGTGTTAACAATAACCATTATCTACAACTTACTATAAAACAGTTCAAGGGGCTGGGAAGATAGCTCAGTAGGATAAGCGCCTGCCTGGCAAGCGCAGGGTCCTGAGTTCAATCCCTGGTACCACAAAAAACAAAAACAAACAAACAAAAAAACTGTTCAAGAAAAAACACATATACACACAGACTCACATATAGAAATAAAAGAACAGAGCAAATGCAGTGAAATGTTAATCTGAGAGAACAGTGCCTTCTTTATTGTGGTAACTTCCACTCTATGTCATAACTTTTTTTAAAGTGAGGCTTTGGATCATTGAATCTGCCTGAGAGTACCAACACTTCCTCTGTTCAAGTCACTACAAAAGAAGGCAGCCGCTATGCACAGGAGTTGTCTGTTACCTTGCTGTTTATGTAGCCGCTCCAACTCAGTTCTGAGATAGTACATTTTCTTCTGGCGAGCTTCCCGATCACTCTTCAGTTTTTCCCTTTCTTCAATAACCTGCAGAATACAAAATGGTAAGAGTCCCTCAGTCTCCAACATCTTTTTACTACTGCTTTCTTCCAGAAATCCTTATGCTAGGTATCTCAGACTCTTTCGGGGTTGGTTTTTTTTTTTTCCTAGTAATGGGGATTGAACTCAGGACCCTGTGCTCCACCGAGCTATCTCCCCAGCCCACAAGGTATATTAACACATGGATTAAGTGCCTATACAATGAGGCACTGATTCCCCCCCGCCAATATTATATATTTTGGCCTTTTTTACATTTTCCATTTCTCACATCAGAGAAATCATGCAATGTTTAAATATTCCAGTTTATTTCACTTAAAAGTATCACCTCAAGCTGCATTTTTATAGTCAAAATGGTATTTCATTCTAATCAATTTTAAAATTATCCTCTTCTTCAGAACTATACTACCCAGAGTACTATTGTTCTGCAGCAATCACTTTAAGCCACTGACAGTAACTACTGAACACTGGTTCTGAGCCAAAGGGAGCTATGGAGAAGCAAACTGTCATGGGTGAGGCACCATATTACTCACATATATATTTCATGTTATTTAATCCTCACATTTTCTGTTACGGTAAAAAACTGAACTGATATAAAGTTAACTTACCCAGTTACAGTGAGAAGATTTAAAATACAGGTATTTGCCCTAAAGTAAATATATTACTATCACCTAACAGGAAAAAAATATGGCTTGTCTCTTATAGGCAATAAAAATAAGCCTATGTATTATCAGCTGTGACTTAAGTGCTAGTCTCTTAGAGGGAAAGTAATGAGAAAGTGCTCAGTCTCCTAGACCTTCCTGTCTCTGAGGTCTTAAGTTTTGTCTTTATTGAATCTAAACTCCTCTTTCCAAAACAGTTCAATAACCTAAAGTTCAGGGTATTTGAGTATAATAAAAAATTAAGAGGAAGTATTTTTTTCCCTTCCAAGGATTATCTAACTTTTTTAATCTTGAAAAGAATAAGACTGAGGGCCTGCCCCTTAGCTCAGTTCTTTAAGTTGCTGCTTCTACAAAGCAGTCAGGCTCAGGTTGTTGTGGTTCGATCCCCAGAACTCAAGCTAGCCAAACCTGCCCTGAAGGCATTCTGAGCCAGCCCCCCGCCCAAAAAAAAAGAATAAGACTAAAGGATACCTTAAGGTTTTTCTGTCTTACCCTCAGTGTTCTCAAGGAACCAAATATGGATCAAAATAAAATATTGAAAAGTCTAGTAATCATAATGGGACTTACTGCCATACTTTGTTTAGCTGTAAGGACAAAACACATGAGAAGATTAAGGGGTTATTTTTATGTTATATACTTAGGGTGATGACTACAACCTCCAAAGGACTTAAAGTAGAAGACCCTTACAGATGTTCAGCTCCCTCTAAAAGACAAATTTGAGGGGCTGGGGAGATAAGTAGAATAAGCGCTTGCATGGCAAGCACAAGGGTCTGAGTTCAATCCTCAGTTCCACAAAAAAAAAAAAAAAAAAAGACAAATTTGTTAAAAATTCAGACATAAAATCCCTGAAGCGAATATCCACCTTCTGCTTCTGGGAAGCACGATTCTTCTCATCGGAGATCTTCTCTGGGTTGTATCTGATGAGTGGTGGGATGGACACCTGGACAGGCACTTGGGCAGCAGGAACTGAGTCTGGCACTGACTCCTCCTGTTTGGGCTTGTCAGGAGTCACAGTGGGAATCACACGGAGGTTGGGACGGCTCCGAGAAGCTTGTTTGGTTAGTGGCATTATTCTGTGTAGCTCAGGTAGAAGGGGGGTTGCTGGCTGAGAGGCAGGGTACAAGGGCCATCTTGCAGCTGCATAGGCCATGTAGGACCTATAGGCATCAAAGGAGGCAGCAGGGATGGCTGGTCCCTGGTAATTTGGAGGTATCTGAGCTGCAGCAAACTGAGAGGCCTGTGGCACATGAAACTGAGATAATGAAGCAGAGTGGGGATGCCTAATTGGGGTAGACGATGATGAGGGCAACATACACCTGACTGCAACAGCTGACTGAAACCCACCGCCAACTACCTTGGGTCCTGAAATATGACCCACTGGATGGTCAGATTTTAGGAAAGGAGGGCTGTGTTTTGTGAGTAGGTAAGGCTCTATCAAGGAGGCTGAGTGTGGATGGGACCCCTCTGGGGAGTGTGCATTGCCATGATGTGCCTCCCTGTCATCCAGTCTGTGGGGATCTGAAGAGCACCGTTCAACCGAGAAACGGTGGTCAACAGAGGAACGGTCTGCTGGAAAGTGTCGGTCAACAGAGGAACGCCTGTCAGTTGTGGAGCGTGGGGACGGCTTCTTGCCATGAAGTCGCTCCTGAGTGCGCACAGCCAGTTGACTAATTTCCGCTACTCCAATGTCCAGCCCTATAGTCTTTAGCAAGTCATGAATCTTGGCATATTCAGGATTGGTCTCTTCTAGAGATTCCAGCTTTATAGCTGGAGATGAAGAGGGGAGAGAGCTCGCCTTCTGCCTTATAACCTCACTCTCAGATCCCCCAGAGGCTTTTGGTGGGGACTCTGCCTTCAAGTCTTCTTCTTCATCCCCATAGAGAAATTTCTCCTCATCTTCAATATCAGGGAAGCTTCGACGTCTTTTCTCTTGTGTGCTGGTAGAATCTGACAACATGCTTAGAATGCGGGAAAACCCACTTCCATCCTGGCTAGCTCTCTCATGAGGCAGTAAGAAATCTGTGTGTCCCTCAGCCTTCAAATCCAGTTTGTCCTTGTGGCACAGAAAGCTTCCAAATTTTTCTCTGAGAGGACTGCTGTCTTTAGGCACAGCAGGGAGAGGACCCCATTGGTAGTGGTTGCCCTGAGGTTCCTTCAGGGCAGACTCTACTGTTGTCTCCTTGTCTTCAATTTCTGAGGCAAAAGCTGTAATAGCACCACTTAGTGGAAGAGATGAATGTCCAGAGTACCCAGGGTGATCCTGGCTAGTGCTGGTGCTGCTGGAAAAACCACCAAGCTGCAAAGACAAACATAACTGATTTAGCTATAAGCAGATCTCAGAATATTAGTAGCTGAGATAAATACCTTAAAATCTTTCTCCTCCTGAATCAATAGGGGAGATATGTCTGGATAAAAAAGTGTCCTTAGCCAAGTTTAAGATATGGGTACCCATCTCTCCAGATGTCTCTTCTCCAACAAGAAAATGAGGCAAACTGCATGGAATTCCCATTTTCGCCCTTTTAAGTTTTTTTTCACCCCCAAAGAACGTGATTTCAAAAGAATTTTAGAGATCCCACATCTTATTTTCATTTCTGTGGATCCCCAAAGGAAAAAACATACAAATGGTGCTGCTTTGAAGTCAACAGTAACTCTGGAACTTTACCTACTTTAAGTAGGCACCACTTGCTTCTATAAGTACCCTCAGTCAGTTCTTTGAAAGCCTTTAGCTAGATTAATGGTCTTGCCTGACCATCCTATCCTGAGAGAGGAAAAAGAGCAAGGCTCAGAATAATTAGGTGACTTATCTAAAAATCACGCAGCAAGTTGATGGCAGCAGTGGGTCCAAAAATCAGAATTACTTGCTTTCTGGTCTAGTGTCCTACAACTTACACATTTGTCTTCTCTCTAAAAAGACATGAGGAAATTCAGATCACCTCTTCTTTTTGCTCTTTAAAAATTCATTTTCAAGAAACCTATATTTAAAGATTCCTACAGGATTACCTACCATAAGGAAAAAATTTACAGTAGATACTCACCATAATGTCTCTTTAACCTAACAATGTGACATTGGACGCCCTCTACTGATTCATTATAAAACCCAGTTTCACTTCAAGACTCCTTCCTATAAGGCGAAGTTTACAGGTATAACAACATTGGCCCAGCACATGTTACAAAGATACCACTAGGAATACAGCCTCCAGGAAAGTAACCAGGGTGTAAGACACCAGAGGAACTAGTAAAAGGCCCTAGAAAATACGTTAACAGACACCTGCACAGAAGACTCCATGTCCACCTCCATCCGCTTCTTCAAAATGGACTTCTTGGGCATCACAGACACTTCCTCAGGCCGATGCAAAGAATATTTGGGCTCCGAAGCTGTCAGGGCACCTGATAATCCAGGAATGGAACAGCTACTGCCACCATCATCTTCTCCCACCAGCTCCCGACTCAAGCTCCTACTTCGCTCCTCTTCCTCTCGCTTTCTCCTGGCAAGGTCCAGCTCTCGAAACTCAGGGTCTAGAAACCTAGGACTTGGGCTACGTCTACGCTGCCGATAGTTTCGAGTCCCCGATGTAAAAGCTGAGTGATCCCCTCCCATGCTGTGTATCTTCTCTGTATCGTCATAACGGGGCCTTTTAGCCTCTCGGCTCCTGTCTTCAGATCGTACAGAGTAGGAGCTTTTCAGTTTGTCTCTATTCCGTTCTGTTCCCCGCAACAGCTCATCATGACAACTGATGTGAGGACTATAATCAGATCGATGCAGGAAAGTTTCTCTTGTTCTGTAGTCCTCATCAAGTTGTCCCAAGAAGGGACTAAGAGGCCCCTCCTCCCGGGAAATATATCTCTCAAGACCCCGAGAGCACTGGGAGCGCCGAGTGAAGACAGAATCATCTATCAGATCATCCCTGAGGAAAGAGACAAGCATCACTAAATACAATGGTCTTGGAAAGGGTAAAACCAGACAAGGCTCAGACTATTATTTGGCTAGTGACTACACAATGTTTAGGAAAAAAAGATAATAATCATGGAATCTAAGAACAGATCTATGTAGTACATGAAGCATTTTCCCTCCCTTTCCCCAGAGGCACAAGCAGTTTCAGCCTCTAACCAGGGGGTGATCTACCAGTACATGTAAACAGAGCTCTTACACTAATTTCTTTTTTTTTTTTTTTAATTTATTTATTTATTTGTGTGTGTGTGTGTGTGTGGCCAGCTCAGCCCACCAGGGGGCGGGGGTTGGTTGGCTGTGGTGCTGGGGGATTGAACCGCGGTCCCTGTGCTTTGCTAAGCTTGTTCTAAGTAGGTGCTTTAGACCACTGAGCCATCTCACCAGCCCCCACTAATTTCTTTGATTAGAATGTAGAGTACCATATTACAATTTGGGAGATGTGAAAACACCACTAACAGGAGCCGGGGAGATGGCTCAGCAGAATAAGCGCTTCCCTGGCAAGCGCAAATGTCTGAGTTCAATCCCCGGTTCTGCCAAAAAAAAAAAAAAAAAGTTAAAAAAAAAAAAGTTAAAAAAGAAAAGAAAACACCACTAACAGACTATAAAGATTTTCAGGTTTACACAACTCCAGACTAACTAAATTCTAGCCCTTTGCTACCAAAAGTGTTGTCTAGGCAAGCATCATTGGCATTAACTGGGAACTTATTTGAAATACAAATCCTCAGGTTCAGCCTACTATAGCCGGAGCTGATTTTATTTATTTTTATAGAGCTGATTTTAATAAGACCTCCAGGACAGTATCTGTTGTCCTTGGGCCGGGGAGATAGCTCAGTAGAATAAGCACTTGGCTGGCAAGTGCATCTATTGTCCAGGTTTAAAGTCTGAGGAACATCAGTCCAGAACAATGGATTTTAATTGGTATTCCAGAGATTCTCAAAAATGTTCAGTAGTTCTCTAAAAGAAAAGAGTACTAGAAAAACAGGACTAGAAGACTCTAGGCCTTCCACCCTACTTTCATTACACTAGCTCCAACTTCATGATGTTTACATGTTAAAGTTTTATATGCTATTTCAGTTGGGGAAAGTGGGTATGAGGGGATTTAAAAACCACAAAATTGGCTTTTTACCCTTTTCCCTATTTTACCTGGATATCCACAAGCACTCTGCTGAGTTTTGACCCAAACAGGTGATGGTGTGGCTCACTATGTTTTTATTTCTCAGAAATATAAAAGTTTCAGATATCTGTGGCATGAAGGAAAAAAATAAGAGGATGAGACAACTGTCCTTTCAGCCCAGAGCTCTGCACCATATACACTGGACCTAACCTATTTATTTATTTTATTTATTTATTTCAGAACTGGGGATTGAACTCAGGCCTTTACGCTTGCCAGGCAAGTGCTTGCTCTACTGAGCCATCTCCCTGGCCCCAGAAGGGGTTTTTTTTTGGGGGGAGGGCACTCAGGAAGCCTTCAGGGCAGGTCTGGTTTGGCTTGAGGATGAGGGGATTGAACTACAGCATCCTGAGTCTGACTGCTTTGTTTCAGCAGGCACTTAAACACCTGAGCTAATGGGCAGGCCCCCAGACCTAACCTTTTTAGGTACTGTGGCCACAGACCTTCTATAACCAAAAAAGAAATGTAAATCATAGATCAAAATAAAATCCTAGGGCCGGCCAAACAGCTCAGCAGATTAAAGCGCCTGCTTAGGCAGAGCGAAGCGGCTGGGTCCTATCCCCAGTGTGCCGTGCCAGCCCTGCTCCCAGGGAGCAATGTGATGGCAAATGAGACTGGGCATGGTGGTGCGTGCCTATAATCCCAATGCCTGAGAGGCTGAACAGAGGCAGACCCATTACGAGTATGATCTATGTAGTGAGACCCTGTAGACCCTGTACTAAAATACAAAAAAAAAAAAAAAGATCCTGGGCTGGGGACATGGCTCAGCAGCACAGTGCCTGCCTAGCAAGTACAAAGTTGTGAGTCTGATTCTGTGTACAAGAAAGAAAGAAAGAGAGAGAGAGAGAGAGAGAGAGAGAGAGAGAGAGACAGACAGACAGACAGACAGACAGAGACAGACAGACAGACACAGAGACAGGGAGGGAGACAAGAGACAGGGAGGGAGGGAAGGAGAGATGGAGGGAGGGAGGGAGGGGCAGAGGGAGAGAGAATAAACCTCTACTACTGAAACATAACTTTTAAACAATCTGGAAGAAAAATGAAATTCTTCCAAGTTACTCAGGCTCAAATTCTTTCATGTTACTCGTGCTACTCATGTTACCATGTAAAGGGTAGTAATTATGGCCATAGTGTTTCTAGTGGCTACTTTGCATGCATGCATATGTTTCTAGAAGTGATTTTTTTGTAGTTGTTTTCCTACCTTAGCAGAACAGCAAGAAGTTGCCTTTTCTTTCCCACTAGTGCTGCCTTTGTTCAAAGCTACAGAGTTGAGCAATAGCAACAAGTTATTTTATGAAAGGCTAACAAGGTTAAACTTCCTCACCTCCACTAAAAGAATGCTGCCTATAGAAATCCAGATTGTAACCTAGGGAATTTTGAGTATCAATATAGTATGAGGTAAGAAGGATTGGGAATGTACCGAGGATGACCTCTTAAAAATGACTGGAAAAAAAAAATGAAAAAAATTTTATACTCTGTAGGTGTATCATTCATGTCTGTGCCTATTTCCAGGGAGCAATGGCCATGAGCTGTCACTCCACCACTAAAATACTATCTACTATACAAAAATAGGCTATACATGGGTAGTGGAAAGTTCATCTATGCTTTTATGGTCAGCTCCACACTGAAATTATTATTATTATTTTTTGGCTCACTCAGAATGCCTTCAGGGCAGGTTTGGCTGGCTTGAGTTTTGGGGGTCGAACCACAGCAACCTGAGCTGACTGACTGTTTAAGCAGGCTCTTAAATAACTGAGCTAAGGGGCAGGCCCCTAAAATTATTATGAATACCAGCTCATGCTCTAAGCCAACACTAAATGTCAAGAAGCTAGGAATAAGATGGCTCTCAGGAAGCCTCAGCCCAGATGTGGAAACTCCTAAAGGAGGCATATAAATATTTTTTAAGCTATCATATAAATACAATCACAAACCAGGCTGCTTATTAGAAACTCAGATCCTCTTTCCATAGGACTCCTAAGAAATAAAGGAGAAGACTAGGTGTGGTAAAAGCGAGCCCTAAGAAGTACCACATCTCTTGTAGACTGAGGAGTCCAGTGGTAGACACTCCCTAGAAGCCTAGGTTAAATCCAACTATTTTCTAATACCAAGTCTCTTTTAAAATTGATTGTTAGATGTAAATAGTAGCCACATGAGGGTTCACTGTACTATTCTATTATTTTGTGTTTACCCAATTTCTATTAAACAACTTAGAAAATAGGGCTGGGAGTATAGCTCAGCTGCTATAGCCTAGCATGCACAAGGCCCAGGGTTTAATCCTCATTACCACCAAGGGGAAAAAAGTACATTAGGTCCACATAAAAGCTTGTATACTAATGTTGACAGCAGCATTTTTCTGTTTTGAGACAGGATTCATTATGTAGTACAAGCTGTCCTTGAATTCACTATCTAACCCAGGCTGGCATATAGCTCACAGTGATCCTCCTGCCTCAGCCTTCTGAGTGCTGGAACTACAGACCTGTGTTACCACCTCCAGCTTAGCAGCATTGATTTGTTTTTTTAAGATAGGGTCTTGCTATGCAGTTCAGACTAGCCTTGACAGCACACTTTGTAGCCCAAGCTGGTCACAAACTCACAATGATTTTCCTGCCTCAGCCTTCCAAGTGCTGGGATTACAGGCATGTGCCACCATGCCCAGCTAGCAGCATTATTTATAACAATCAAGAGGTTTTTTTTTTTTAATCAAAAGTTAAATAACTCAGCTGGGAGGGAGATGGCTCAGTGGAATAAGCGCTTCCCTGGCAAGTGCAAGGGCCTGAGTTCAATTCCCAGTTCCACCAAGAAAAAAAAAAAAAGATTAGAAAAGTTAAATAACTCAATTGTTGTCCATCCATTTACTACTGATAAATATGCAAAATGTGGTGATGCAGTTATGCATAGTTATGCATACAATGAAATATTATTGGCTATTAAAAAGTGTTATGCACATGAATATAGTGGTCCCTCACTTATTGCAGATGTTCCAGACACCCCTATAATAAGTGAAAATCAGCACAGCAGTGACATTATATTTACTTTAGTATTTATGTGTATTTTAAGGCTTCGTAAACCCTTCCCATGCTTTTATAAACCTTTCCCACACTTTTAAAAACACTTTTAGGGGCTGGGAGATGGCTCAGTGGAATAAGCGCTTCCCTGGCAAGCGCAAGGGCCTGAGTTCAATCCCCGGTTCCGCCAAAAAAATAAATAAATAAAAACACTTTTAATATTCTTAACCATTTTCTAAACTCATAAACCTATGTAATTTTAACAACATATGTATACTGTATGGTACAGTTTGTATTCATCTGCTAAAGAAATACATACTGTAGGAGCTGGAGAGATGGCTCAGTGGTCTAGAGCACCTGCTTGGAACAAGCTTGGCAAGAGCATCAGGGACCGCGGTTCAATCCCCCAGCACCACATGCCGGCCGGCCCTGCCCCCTGGTGGGCTGAGCTGGCCACAACACTCTTTCTGTCTCTCTCTCTCTCTCTCTCTCTCTC